GGGGGGGGGGGGGGGGGGGGGGGGGGGGGGGGGGGGGGGGGGGGTGGCTGAGGGCCAGGGTCGCTGCCTCTACAACCCCCTCTACCGATGACTTGACAAAACATACATGTGCTGGCTCTGTTAACCCAGACCTCTGCAGCAGAGAAGCCTCTGAAAAGCCTGCTTGCAGAGGAAGAGATGGCCACTCTGCAGAGATGTCCAGCAGCCCAGCACCCGCTGACCCCCGCTGTTCCTCACGTGCTTTCTCTTCTCCAGCCCAGGGATGGCTCTTAGCAACACTTCCAACTCGTTCAACCCCCTCTCCGGAAAGGTTCCTTTGCAGGCTCAGTCAAATTGCTGAACGTTTACTGGGCTCTTAAACGCCAGGGGAGATCGTTGAGGGTACAGAGGTGACACAGACCCTGTAAATGGTTTGATTGGGCATGCATGTAGGGGGGGACGGTTGGGTGAGGCACGCAGCCAGCAGCCATGTTCAACAAGTCTTGGATTCCACAGAAACTCAGGTGTGATACGGGCTGAAAGGGTGGGTGGTGGGTGGGGGTCCTCGTGGATTCAGGAGGTCCTTCCGAAGGCAGTGCTCCCATAACTAGGCTGTGCAGACGGTGAAGCAGCAACCCAGGCAGAGGAGAAGGCGTGCAGAATGGGCGGGGGACAGCAAGGGATCTGGCACAGTCGGAAATTAGAGTAAGGCACCAGAGGAAGAGTCCAGCCGGGGGAAGGGGTGTGGGGAGGAGCGCTGCTAGTATCCTGAGAATGGAGTTTGGATTCCATCCTAAGGGCAGCAGGAAGGCATGGAAGAACCAGGACAATAACACTTGAAAAGATCCTTTCTGGTCTGATGCAACAGAAGGAGCCTGTAGGCCAGGCTGCTTGGGAGGCTGAGGCAGGAGGGTTATTTGAGACTTTATGACACTGTATATTCGAGGGGCCAGGGCAATGCAGCTCTCTCTCTCTCCCTCCTCCTTCCCTTTCTCTCTTCACTTTTATTTTGAGACTGGGTCTCATTAATCTGCTAAAGTTGGCCTTGAACTTGTGACTCTTCCTGTCTCAGCTGGGATTATAGATCTGCACGTCAGGCCTTGCTGTAAGACCTCATCTCATTCATAAATAAATAAGCAGAGGCTGGAGATAAGGCTCAGCAGCGTGGTTGCTCTTCCAGGAAACCCAGGTTTGACTCCCAGCACCTACAGTGGCTCACAACTGTAACTCCAGGCCCAGATGACTTGACACCATCCTCTGGCCTCCATGGGCTCTGCACAGGCGCAGTGCACAGACCAACATGCAGGCAAAACATCCACACACATTCAGTAATAGGTAACTAAATCCTCTGATGGCAGTTTAGAGGGAATTTGGCTTGGAGATAGGAACAGGAGAGGTACTGTCCAACAAGGAAGTCAGCAGTTAGGAGCACTGGCTGCTCTTCCAGAGGACCTGGCTTCAGTTCCCAGTATCCACATGGCAGCTTACAACTGTCTATAACTCCAGTTCCAGAGGATCTAACACCCTCACACCAATACATACAAAATGAAATAAGAATTATTTGGGGCTGGAGAGATGGCTCAGCAGTTAAGAGCACTGGCTGCTCTTCCAAAGGTCCTAAGTTCAATTCCCAGCAACCACATGGTGGTGCACAACCACAGGGTCTGATGCCCTCTTCTGGCACGCATATGCAAACAGAGCACTCATATACATAAAATACATAATAAATAAATAAATAAACAAACAAACAAACAAACAAAGGGCCATGAGGGTACCGTCTTCTGCCCCTAGAAACAGGTGCTCAGGCTTGTCGGTGTTCCCCAAACCTCCTAGGAAGGAATCATGGGGTCTCCCGAGGAATCACCCCTTCAGGAGTCCTATGATGGAAAGAGAGTGACTGTTTGGACTTGGCAACCATTGAGACCATCCGTGACACCAACCCTCTGTAGGTCTGAGACCAGCCTTTTCCCCCATGTCCTCAGGAATGCCCAGATTCACCAGACAACCTGATCCATCTCAACCCCAGGGGAACCTGCAGCTAGGTACCATTGTGTCCCCTAGCAGGCAATAGGACCTGGAGCCTGCAGCCAAGCCTAGAAACCTTCAAAGAATCGAATGGCCTAGCCCAGTGGTGGTGGCACACGTCTTTAATCACAGCACTCGGGAGGCAGAGGAAGGAAGAGCTCTTCGAGTTTGAGGCTAGCCTGGTCTACAGAGCAAGTTCCAGGACAGCCAGAGCTACACAGAGAAACCCTGTCTTGAAAAATAAAAACAAAGCATAAGACATGATTATTTGGGAGTGTTAGTAGCTTTAGTCCCATTGCAACATAAGGCAACTAGAGCACTGGACCATTCTGATAGAGACGGAGAAAAGGGCACTTTGGCTCAATAGCAGGGAACAGGTCCTGGGGCATACTGCACATGAGTCTGCCTTGAGACCACGCATAGAGTCTAGTGAGAAATGACAGCAAGCAAAGCTGGTTGGCCTTTACACCTTTGTGTGCATGTATGTGTGTGTGTGTGTGTGTGTGTGTTTATGCATGTGTATGTATGTGGGGTGTGTGTGGGTTTATGTGTGTGTGTTGTGGTATGCCTGTATGTATGTGGTGTGTGGATGTATTTGTGTGGATGTGTAGGTGGTGTGTGTGAGTATTATATGTGTGTGTTTATGTGTGTTACTGGGGTAAAACCCTGGACTTTATGCATGCTAGGCAAATCATCTACTGCTAAGCTGTTTTGAATTTACCAACGAAACAGACTAAAGCAACTGAGAACAATATAAAGTCCGGAGTACGTTAGCCAATTTTCTGCCAGTGTAGCAAAATGCTGAAGCAAACACTTTATAAAGGAAAAAAAGGTTTGGGGCTGGAGAGATGGCTTAGTGGTTAAGAGCACTGACTGCTCTTCCAGATGGACCCAGGTTCAATTCCCAGCACCCACATGGCAGCTTACAACTGTCTGTAACTCCAAGATCTGACATCCACACACAGACATATATGCAGGCTAAACACCAATGCACATAAAATAAAAATAAATAAATTATTTTTAAAAAAAAAAAGGTTTAGCTGGGAGTGGTGGGCACAGGCCTTTAATCCCAGCACTTGGGAGTCAGAGGCAGACAGTTCTCCATGAGTTCAAGGCCAGCCTAGCCTACATAGTAAATTCCAG